ATATATACTTAGTACCCTCCCTGTACACTTACCAGCCTTGGGAGTCTCAGGGTCCCGCCACAGCAGCGCAGACAGTACACCCCTACTTCCTGTGCTGCAGTTGTGGCTGGAGATGGCCACACAGGTTGTCTCTGGGTATTATAAAATGCCGCAGCAAGCAGCCCCGCTCGTGGCTCCGAGTCTGCTTTGCCAGCATAGCCATGGGGTAAATTGGTGGCAGTGGAACTGCTGTGTCAGAGGAAGTGTTTTCAGCACTGGTAGAAGCACAGAGGATGGACTGGCAGATGACTGAAAAGGCCAGCGTGAAAGAGAAAGGTTGGTTCAATTCAGTCTCCAGGGAATTAAGTCCGGCCTGGGAGGAGGCCATTCCCCATAGCCTCAGGCATCCAGATGCCCCACATTCTACTCTGTAGAGTTTGGACGATGTCCCTGCTCACAATCTCTCACCCTCGACTTAGACGGGCTGCATCTGACCAGACTTCCCTTATCAGTTTGGAGTCTTAGAAGCCCCAGCTGGAAGAGGTTCACTTTCTGCCCACAGTGACCCTTGGCAGGTGTTAGCCAGAGGCTTGGCGAGTCCACTTGGAGGACTGTGTCACTCACTCCTTGTAGGCCCAAGGCTGGAAGATGCTGCAGTCAGCTCAGACTCCTCCTCAAGTTGAATCCCTTGAAGCAGGCACAGGACCTGATGGTGTCAGACTGTCCCTCGAATATGCCCACGAGTACCTGGTATGGCGAACCTCAACGGCCCAACCCCTCTGGGAACTTCTCCCATCCACGTACTAACCAGGCCTGACCCTGCTTAGTTTCCGAGATCAGACGAGATCAGGCGTGTTCTGTGAACTTCTAGAGACATGTATTTTCTTCCGCTCAACTCTAGTATGTGCCCCGTGCCTCAGATGACAAGTTACCAGCCACTCAATCCACTCTCATAGTAGTTCACGGAGTGTCTAGTAATGTGCCAGACCTGAGCAAGGCTGGACACTGAGAGACAAAACAGGTCTTGCAGCCACAGTATTTGCATTCCTGCACAGAACTGCGCTGTGGAGGCAATTTAGTGTGACCTTGGCCCATGTCAGCTACTGGCCACTGCCTGGCAGAAGGTAAAATCTTGAGGGAGGCATCCTAGCAGCTGAAGTTGTTAGCGCTGCATTCTCAAGCTAGAGAGGCTACACTGAGTAACAGGCCCAACATATCAATGACACAGGTAAAAGCCTCTGAGGAAGGTAGGGCACACCCGGAGAACATCTGGAGCCAGTGTGAGCTCTGAGCTGGGTATGGACTGGAGCAGCCCACATGCAGAGCCGCTGGCCCTCGTCTCCCTAGCACTCGCAGAACTACACCTGAGCATTTTTGCCAAAACAGGAAGTGCAAGGGACCAGGTAGCCAAGCCTCCAGAGGCCTTTCAGAGGCGTCAATCCAACCAAATGAGGTCTGGTGTCAGAGTGAGCTGGCCCTGTAGTGGCACTTCACTTTTATTTTAATAAATAAAACTTACTTTTCTGATCCTTAGGCAAAACAGCCACACTGGCCAGCCTTACAGATCAGGCAACGATAAAACGCACACTATAATCCCAGTGGCCACACTAGCTTGCCATAGAAACCAGGCGGTAGTGGTGCACGCCTTTAATTCCAGAAGTAGAATTATAAAACGGGAGGAGACAGCTCTCGGGCACAATCTCATTCTGAGATTTCCTGGAAGCAGGATCGCCATTTCAGACTGAGGTAGAGGTTAAGAGCTGGCCGTTTTGATTTTCGAACCTTTGGGCTTAACCCCAATTTCTCTGAGTTTTAATTAATCGTGCTTCATGGTTCTAACTCCAGTGCCACCCCTGGGAAATGCTTGTATGTCCTCCACTGGATGTTCACCCACCCTGGGTCCTAGGAACCAGACCTCCTCAAACACAGGCACTACTACCCTTTCCCCAGCTGGCTTCCACACTTCCTCACAGTACACTCCTTTAATCTTTAGGTGTTTTGGTGAAATGTCATCCTGGAGCTTTAGCTCCAGGGCCTCAGTTCTGACTTCTGGGTCACACCCATCATCTCCTAGGGGGGACCTTCCCTAAAAAGATTGGAGGTGGAGGATGATGGACCTAGGATAGCCTGGTCCTTTCCAGAACCGCTCCATTTTTCAGTTCACAGAACTAGGCTGGGCTGCGAGTAGGGCAGGCAGAGCAAGTCCAGCACTTCTCGTTCAGGATGCTGCCACCTGAGGGAACATGCATCATGCCAGCTACCTCAGGTCACATCTCCCCAGACCCGTCTAGGGGTGGGCTTGCTGCCCAATGCAAGATCTCCATCTCTGAGTCCAGCCTGTAGAGACCAAAGTTCCCCTTACTAGAACATACACGATTTACAGGTTTCTAACCCAGGCAGAGCAACATGAGGACCCCCAAATGTATCAGGACTAGGGTCCTGAGGTTCCCTACATCACACCTCTGGCAACTTAACCATTCATACTATTCCAGAATTATGAACTGTGTGCCAGGTAGTGTGCTGGGATTAGGGACTCAAGCTGGTAGTCACAGTACCTGTCCCCAGGAGTTCCTAGGCTGCCTAGTGCTCACTGGCAGTAAGTTGTCTCTGGATCTGCAGTAGCAGGTACCCACAAAGGCCACCTTTCCCCCACCTCTAAGTCCCTGCCCAAGGTGACAGCATTGGAGACAGGCACCAGAGTATATTCCAGGGGTGACTGACTAAGCAGCCTTCTGTTCCTCCACAAACACCCACTGAGCCCCTGCCAGGAGATGGGCCCTGGCTTAGAGAAGGCAGACACTGACTCATCAGCACAGGGCCCCTGAGAACTCTGATAGCTGCCAGCGGTGAGGAGCATCCTCATGGTGGGGCTTTGGGGACTTGGTTCCAGGGACAGAGAGGGCAGCGAGAACCAAGGTGTAGGTGACAAGCTGCATCAAGTGCTAGGTGGTGGGAAAAGGCAATTGATTCCATGTGTACCAGTCCTTGGGGGTCTACCAGCTACCACAAGCTTTGACCCGTGCCATGATCTCTCAGCTCCACCTTTACCTACCATTGCTGTTTCCCCGTTTCCACTTCTGATCACTGTGTACCCCAGAGGACCCGTCTCCAGGCATCGGTCATCCAAATGCCAACTCCCAAAGTTGGTCACTAACAGGGGCCTAGACATCCACTTTCTTTACTGCCTATCTAGGTGACTCAACCCACCCAAAGAGTTCTTCCTGCTACCTGGCTGACCCTAAAAGGGTCACCATCATTCCAGGCCTGTTTTGCTCAGTGGGTAGAAGTTACCAAACACACGATGAGTGGGTGAATGCAGGAAGAGTGAGTAGCCCCTTAAGTACTATCTTTATGGCACAGGGAGGGCCAAAATGGGGCCAGGAAACAGAACAGGAAGCTAACTGTCCAGGCCCCAGCTGCCAAGGACTGGGGTTTCACAGGGTCTCGTGAATGGACAGGAGAAGCCCAGCACAGGACAGAATGAATCTATTTCAGTACAGTCCCTAGTCTGGTTGTTTATGTCCAACCTCCAGGCCCAATGCCAAGCCCACCAAGAGCCCAAGGCTGAGAGAGGAGGACCCACTTCCCTCCAGTCCCCTTTTCCCTGACTAGCCCACACAGTCAAAACCTGGGGAGCTACTGACATCGGAGATCAGAGGCTCAGCTCCACATGAGTCAGGGACAAGACAGTTGTGACTCTGAAGTACCCCCACCCTCCAGGTCTCCTGGGGTCTACAGTCTGAGGGTAGCTCTTCTGCCTCAGGAACAGGTCTCTCCAGCCAGGCCAGCGACCCCTTAGAGACAGGGCCAAAAGAGAAGCAGAGGCTGCTCTGATGACCCAGCTGGGGAGACTGCAGACTGACTCCTCCGCTCCCGCCTGAGCTTCAGTCCTTCCCTCCTCTGGGATTTATGCTCAGGGCCATGCTCTGGCCTAGCCCTGAAAGTCTTGGTTAATAAGCCCCAGAATGACAATACTCTGGTGAAGGAAGACCAGGCCCTGGGTGGCCATGGGCTGGGAAGTGGGTAAAGAAAGCAATGCAGGTCGCCTCTCACCTACCTCAGCAGACCTGGGGATGGGTTCTCCCACATGGCACCCTCTCCACAGTTCCTATCTGGAAGCATGAATGAGGAGACCGGGCAGCAACTACCTCGTCACAGTTGCTGGTGTTGAGTGCCACAGCCTGCATCACCCATTGGTCCAAAGGGATGTTCCCCAACAGTCAGCAGCTGTGCAGAAAAGTCTAGGACCAAACCTAGGGCGTCCCAGCTCCTCCCAGTCACACCACCCTTCCAAGGGTGAGTTGGCAGGAGTCACTCATGAGGCACTGTTGTTAGTGCCTAGAAGAAGAAACCAAAGTCAGTCACAAACTAATCTATATGTCCACGGTCATGTCCAAAGGAGTTGGCGGTAGCAAGATGCCAACCGGCAGAATTATAACCTGGTTCTGAGGTCCTTGGAAAAGTGGAGAGTACTTGGTTCAAGTGCTGGCCATCCCTGCCCACACCCCCATCCCCAGAGGATGTACCTAGGACTTCAGCTGTACTTTCTGACACTGAGAACCAGCACCATCCCCTCTCCCACATTCTCCACAGCCCCTCTGTAAACTACAGGCCAGTCTGGATCACTTCCAAAACCTTCACCTGGCGCCTAATCCTTGCCTTTCCCACTCTTAGCCTTGCCTGGGAGATTTAAAAAAGAAAAAAAAGGTGGGGGGGGGTGAGGGAAATCACCCCAATAGCCAAACACCTACAGACTTTCCTACTACCCCAATAATCCCAGACACATCAGGGACTTTGGGCTTGGAAGCTGCTAAGAAGACAAACCTCCAAGGGTAACTGGCGCCCACCTGTCCCAACCCCACTTCCAAGGCCAGTACATTAAGTACTGAACTCAGGCCCAGGGAAAGGCAGCAGGTGCCTGGAGAGCAAGGAAGAAGTTTCAGGTGCCAGGCCCACACTCTCCTTCCTGATCAGTATCACCAGCTCCTACCCGGGCTCCCCCCAAACATGTCAGGAAGGGCTGCGGAAAAAAGATGTCCCTTTAATAAAACGTTATCAACATATATCGTACACAAACTACAATGTATCATAATTACTTTTTTTTCCTCTCATAATTCAGAACCAGACTACAAGGTAAGAAAAAACACAGAAACAGCTACAATGTTCCCAAGAATCCGCACAAGGTCTTTTTTCAGGCAGATGGTATCTCACAGAATATGATATACATGGGTCAGAAAGGGGAGGTAAGAAAACAAAGACCAGCTACAAGGGTGGGCGGGGCACGAGGAGGGTGTAAATGTACAAAGAATTCAGTGTCTTCAGGGCAAGACACAGAGGTTGCCAGGGCGAGACCAGGGCAGCCAAGTCACCCCTCCTAGGAGGGGACGGCTCCACCATCAGGTTTGCAGGTTTTTGAAAATAAAAACAGGCGCGGAGACGGTGTCTGTTTGGTTGCTGGTGCTCCCCCCACCCCCACAGCGATGCCGAAGTCTGTCCATCCAGTTCCAAGCAAATAGAGAGCGATTCTAACCAAAACCCATCTTTGAAAAAGGAAAAAAAAAAAAAAAAAAAAAAGGAAAGAAAAGAAAACCACTTCAGCCCGCCCTGCCTGTGCGCACTATGTGAGGATCTAGGGACCAGAACGTGGAGGCCAGTTCCATGTCCCAGATCATAGCCATTCTGTGGGTGGGGCCTCTCCTGCCCAGGCAGCAGGAGTCTTGCCAAGAGTTGTGGGGCTGGAGGCCCCAGTGGCCGAGCACGAGGTCTGAAGAGGCAGCCATCCTGGAACGGTGTGTATGCTGGGTCACAGCGATGGTCTCTGTTAGGCGACAGCAGGTTGGGGGCTCTGAGCGCTCTGGCCACAGGGGTGCCGGTGTGTTGTGATGGCCAGCCAGATCATCTCCTCGCCCAGTGCAAACCCCAAAGGCCCACGTGGAAATGGTGGACTCTTCCTTCTCCCCAGACAGCCTTTGAAAGGGACCACCGATTGTAAACTGTCCAGTTTATTATTATTATTATTAGATGGCTACAACGTCAGTGTGGCAGCGCACACCTAGACTAGCTTTCAGGTGGTAGGACACACAGCAGGGCTTGTGGGGTTTTCTTCCTTTTTTTTTGGCCTTTTTTTCTTTTTCCTTTTTTTTTGTTCTTTTTTTTTTTTTTAAAGAAGAAAGCAAAGAGTGGGGTGGGTGTAGGGCTTGCTAGAAGCTTCCATTAAAAAAATTTTTCCCCAAAAGAAACCCCCCCCAAAACAAATTAAAAATCCCAGCAACGATAAAATCCCAAACAAACAAACAAACAAACAAAAAGTGTCATGTACAGAAAGGTCCTTAGGGTGAGGAGAGGGTAGGATTTTTCTGATTGCTGACTTGAAATACATTTTTTTGAGTTTTTGTCCTTCATGTTTTATGGAATAAAAAGTTTGGCCTTTTTATTGCATGAAACTAAAATTGGGAAAGGTGGGGGAGTGGATGGGAGGGGTGGAGGGGAGCAGGAGACACCCTCCCCCAGCTCCTGGTATCGACACCTCACTTCTTCTTGCATAATTTCTGGCATCTTCTGCCTGCAATGCCGGCTCTCAGCGTCTTGGAGAGGGGGGTCACACACTCATCGTCATGCTTGGAGAATACTGCAGGGGAGAAGCAGGGATGGGGATGGTTGTCAGGTGGGGAGGAGAGGCCACGGCTTATCAATGTGCTGACAGCCTGATTAAGGACAGTGCTGGCCAGAGCAAACCTGGGGCAAGATGGGCATGGGCAGGGTGAAGTCTAGGATGCAGGAGCTAGGTGACTCCTCTGGGACCAGTCTATGCCTCTTGCCAGGAACTCTGAAAGCACAAACGGCCTCTAATTCGTACTCCTTGGAGTCAAGTTTTCTAAGGAAACCAAGACAGTAGGGTAGTGGAATTTATTGAGTCCAGGTTCCTGGAGGCTGCTGTGGACCAGCAACAGTCTGGGGTTCTCTCAAGCTGTTTTCATCACTGAGTATGAACACAGAAATTCACCTGGCCCCTGTGCACTGGGGGCCCAGGAAATTCCTGCTTCTATGATGCCATGGGCCAGCATTGTCTGACAATTTAGCTCAGAGCTTTCCCAACCATTTCTGCTTATGAATGCTGAAGGCTTCTGGCCTTCACACAGTCCCCCACCCCAAGCCCTGGAAGGACCAGGTGAAAAGCAGTACAGATAGCAGGCGCAGTTCCAGGGTCCTCTCAGAGTCAGGGGCTCTGGGAACTTACATTGTCGTTCTGGAAGGAGTGGAGGAAGTTCCCTCCCAGCTCGCCGTCATCTCGGGGGGTGCCTGGAGGATTGCTAATGCCACTTATGTTGTTAGGAGAATTCTGTGGAAAGAGACGAGGAGGTGAGTCCGTGTCCCTAACAACCTGACCTAACAGACAGGGTGATTCTGAGGGAGGGGACAATAAGCATCACTCACTTTTGGAAGTCCATCTATGTCTCCTGATCCTAAAAGGGAAGAAGAGGCCAAGTCAGGGCATTCCTTTCTTTCCTTCCTTCAGGGTGTGTGTGTGTTGAGTATATGTAGGTAGGCACTGTTTTCATGTACGTGTACACACGCGTGCACACTGGAGGAAGTCAGGGATCACTGCTAGGTGCTTTCCATCTTTCTTTTTGAGACAAATTCTCTCACTGAACCTGGATTCAGCTTGCTGATTCGACTATAGACTGGCTGGCAGCAAGCCTCGGGGATCCTCCTGTCTCTGCCTCCACAGCTGGCATTAAAGTGTGTGCCACTGTGTGCGGCTTTTACATGGCGCTGGGAATCAAACTCGGGTCCTCACGCTCGCCCAACAAACACTACTGACTGAGCCATCTCCACACGGCCCAGGCAAGCCATGAATCCATCATGCCCCCACCTTGGTCCCCTAGGTGCTCAGGGGACAGCCGAACGACCCCGTGCCCAGCTCTAGCTTCCTCAGGTCTCATTTGCACACCTGTCGGAGAATATTTCAGGCTAGCTTGAAACTTGTGATCCTCCTGCCTCAGGTTCCTACGTGCTCCAGTACAGTAATGTGTGTCACCATGCCTGGCCCGCTTAGTGGCTGGACCACGCTTCGGTGTGTTCTCCATCCTCTGAGAAGGACCCTTTGCTTTCTGGCTCTGTGCGTGGGAGTTCACCTCAGTGTAGGCAGGAGCATTTGCTCAGGGCCTCCCTAGGAGCCGAGTCAAGGCGAACACTGTCCCAGGGGACCCAGGAGTTGAGGTGGAGTGGAGCTATGGGCAGGTGCTGGCTTACCTAAGGATCCATTCATGTGGTGTGGCTCCATGCCGCCCATACCTCCCATTGGGCCATCTGAGCCGGGACCCATTGGGAACTGTGGGGGAAGCAGAGGATGGTTAGAGGACCCAGGCCCTTTGCACTCCTGTCCCGCTTCCCTAAAAGGCTCAGACCTTGGGACCCAGGTGCTTAGAAGTGCCACCCAGCGTGTTCCAGGGTGGTGGTCTCCTTGTGCAGACTTAGGCAATGGGTGCCCGGGGAGGGGGGGCTAGAACAGGTTCCTTGTCTTCACCTTGGGGATTGCCCAATGGAGGGGCCTGGTTTTATTTATCAGTCAAATGAGCCAACTCAGGGGAAAAGGACCCAGACCAAAGCCATCAGGTTCCACACACAGTCAGCTAGCTGATTTCTCGGGCCTCCTCACAGTGTTTGGTTAGGGATCTGGATCAGCAGCCACTACTGCACAGGAATGAATCTCGACTGACTGCACAGGCCAGACCAATGACTAAAGCTTGTCACCTGCATTGTACAGGTGAGAAAACTGAAGTAGAGCATAGCAAATGCTTTGCACAGATCTCCTGGGGCAGAGGAGAAGCTGAGAGTGGAGCAGAGCAACCTATTATGGGCTGTCCCTCAGACATGGGATGTCTCGGGGGGAGTGGTGAAGAATCTACTCCACGCCATCCTGTCTGCAACTCTCGAGCCTACCCCAGGAAGGAAGGCCACATCTCTGGTCCTGAGTTACCAATGAGTCTAGCCTGAAGCCATGATGCTGACTTAGGATAAAGGGTGGGAAGGGCTAGACACGAAGTGACATCACAGCCCCAGGAGAAGCAGCTCACGGCCACGCAGCAAGAGAGTGGCCAGCTGAGTTCCAAACACAGTCGTAAGACTGCAGGGAAATCAGAATGGGCTGCATGGAGGAGGTGGCAAAGCCTTAGCAGAACAAAACAGATCGCGGAAGCCATTCTAGAACTTCTGTGTGGGCAACAGACCATGGTACAGGGGCAGCATGATACGAAGATGAAGGGGTGGTCACCTTATTAGGCTCCTAGGACATGGCTGTCCCAGACCAAAAAGTATCCAAAGTTGCTAACATAATATATACAGCACATACACAAAAAACACATGCCATTATTCTAACATATATTGCATATATGACCAATATTACAATATAGACAAATACATTTGGGGGCTCTTTTTTTTTTTGGTCATTTTTTAAATACAGGACATATGGAACACTGGCTACCCTGAAACTCAGAGACACAACTACCTCTGCCTCCCAAGTGCTGGATCAAAACATATACTAACTCTGTCTCCAGATCAGGTAATTTTGAAATCACATATTATTATGTATTCCCACCTACTGCTTAATAACATACAAACATTCATACATCATAGAACTGACCCATTATATTTAGGGTTGGGGAACTAACATATCAACTTTAGGGCACTTCTATCTCCCTGACCCTCTGCCCAGCAATGATCAGTCTGTTTCTATGGATTTGCCTATTCCAGACACGGCACCCCAAGGCCTTCAGTGGCTAGCGTTAATTTCTTAGGACATTTCCAAGGTTTCCTCATGTTCCTGCTCAAATGTGTACTGTGTTTCTTCTTATGGACCAAAGTCCAGGGCAGAACTCTGCCACACACACATCTGTTTACCACATACTCAGGGTGGTTTCATGCTCAGTTCCATGGCCAGGTGTTTCCAGTTCTGACAGGTGCACCTGAGCGGAAGTGCTGGACCACACAGTCATTCTCTCTGCCCTCCTTAGCAATTGCACCATCTGACATGCCCATCAGCAGCGGATGAGGGTTCCTTCTGCTATTTCGGCCCCAACAACAGTCACTGTCATCCTCCTGTCTTGAAGAGCTACCTCACTGTGTCTTAACCTGCATTTCTTAACAGCTTCGTCCTATGTGCTTATGGAAAAAACATCTATTCATTTATTTGTCCCATCTTTAAGTTAGGATGTCTGCTTATTACTGAGTTGAAAGAGTTCCTTATATATTTTGAATTCCAATCTTTTATTGGGTATATTCCCTCCATTCTGTGGGTTTTGTATAACCTCCTTGTCCTCTCTTGAGAGGACTCAACACTAGCTGCCTTGAATTCCTGGGATCAAGCCATGTTCCTGCTACGGCATCCAGCGGTTCTATCTATAGGCATGCACCAATGCACCTGGCTTAAACTGGGGGGAAGGATAATTTTTATTTTTAATTATGTGTATGTGTGTGTACACGTTTCTGTATATACATGTGTGGAGGTGAATGTGAACATCCACACATGAAGCCAGGAAGTCATGGTTGGGAGTCTTTACAGCAAGCCCATCTCCCAGTGCTCAAGCCCGGTTTATGTGCTGGTGTGAGGAGGGAGGCCACCTCGTCTGCGTGCCTGTGTGCTACTTGTCCCGGTTCTGCTCCTTTAGTATATATTGGTTAACTTCCTAATACAGAAACACCATTACTTAAGCAAAACGACAGAAGCAGTTAACAGTAGTAGCAAGTAGCTGGGCTGTTTGAAGAGAAATCATGTGTGAGGACACTGTATTTTCAAAAATGCTTCTGTCTTGACATGTCTGACCTTCCTTCTACCACTGGGCTGGCCTTTTTAGAGTGACATTCCTGCTGTGATGTCCAGCACTCCTAAACACTAGCACGCACAGGACAGACATCCTGCTCAATTAAAGCTCTTTTCACATGAGGATCTTCAATTCGTGAGATCCAAGTTGAATTCTTGTTTAACTTGGCTGCCCTTGACCATGGCATCTTCTGAGTTCTCCTGCAGTCTCATTTCTGAAAAACTAAGCCATTCTTTCTCTGGTGTGAGGTTAGTGCGACCATCCAGGTGAGCACACACACCTTTTTATTCTATTCTCTTTTTTACATATTTCCAGATCAAATGCAGATAGTCTTCTTGCCACACCTTAGTTTCTGTGTTTTGAGATGTGATTCTCACTATACAGCCCTGGCTGATGCCAAACTTGTATGTTGCCTGTGCTGGCCTAGAACACATGGCAATCTTTCTGCCTCTCTGCCTCCTTGAGTGCCAGGATTTTAGGTGTGAGCCACCTTACCACCTTGTCTCATCTTAAAAGCTATGAGTTGTGGGGTGGTATTTGTTTAGTTGGTTTGGCTTCTCTGTGTGGCTTTGGCTTTCCTAGAACTCACTTTGTAGACCCAGCTGACCTCGCTCAGGTATCTGCATGCCCGTCTCCTGAGTACTGGGATTAAAGGCACACACTGCCATCATACTCAGCAGAAATACTGTGGTGTGTGGATTTTTGTTTTGATTTTTGAATTTTTTTCAGACAGGGTTTCTTTGCATAGCCCTCAGTGTCGTGGAACTCACTTTATAGACTCGCCTGCCTCTGCCTCCTGAGTGCAGGTACTAAAGGTAGGCACTGCCACCGCCCCGCAAAAATACTGAGTTTTTAAAGGCAACACTTAACAACTTTTTTGTGGTTGCCAGAGATGACTGTCACTTTATAGGCATCCAACAGAGGCATTCTATTATTCGGGCGGAGTGTGTGTGTGGTGGGGAGTTGAGATAGGGTTTTCTGTGTGTAAATCAGATTAGCCTTGAACAGAGTTCCACTTGCCTCCACCTCTCAACTGCTGGGTTTAAAGGCATGTGCCACCACACCCAGCTTGTATTTCCATTTTTTCCTTTCTTCCTCCCCCCCCACTTCCTTCTTTTTACTTTTGAGGTATGGTTTCTTTGTGCAACAGCTCTGGTTGTCCTGGAACTAGCTCTGTGGAGTAGGCTGGCCTTGAACTCACAGAGATTCACCTGCCTCTGCCTCCCAAGTGCTGAGATTAAAGGCCTGCACCACCACTGCCCGGCTGGTATTCTCTATTTCTATGAAGTAAAATTTGCATGACGTTCTTCTATAAAGCTACAAGTGACCTGACGGCATCATGAAGGCTGTTCTCACAGAAGTGATGGCACAGGGGGTAAGGGAAGCCTCCTTTCACTGGCGAGGGGTTTCAGATGGATCTTCCAGGAGTGATATTAAAGCTGTGTGCTGGACATGCAGATCAATGAGCAAACTCGAGCTGGCTTTAATAAGGAAACAGCCCTGCTTTCTGCAGTTCCATTAAAAACCTCATGGAGATCAAGATAATGTCGAATTTCAGCTCTGAAATTAACAGAGCTGCCAGGAATTGTCTTTGTTTTCTTGGTGGTGTTGGGGATGGAACCCAGGGTCTCCTGCATTTGAGGCAGAGGCTCTAACCCTGAGCTGCACACTCGGTATGCAGTCTTGTGTTACAATGATGTATGGTGTCACTGGCATACTGTGAAGAACACAGCTGTGTCCAAGGGGCCGGGACATCTAAAGCTATCAAAAATCCCTTCCCTTTGGTTCACACAAAGGACTTTTCATTGCAACCACTAGATCTGAACACAACTATCTCATTTACAGTGCAATCAAGGAATGGGGTGATGCCTGTGCTCACTCAAGCGTACGCTCACGATAACTCGGGGGGTCACTGTTTTTGACTGGACACCAGAATCACTCCAAAGAACAAATAGAGCTTTCGGTTCAGAAGGATGTGCCAGCAGCCACACCCTAGGGAGGGAGAGCTTCTCCACCCCTCCCTGACCGCCCCTAAGTCTATACACAGTGTAATGTTCTTGAGTGTCCTCATCAAGTTCTGGGCCTTTAAACCTGTCAGAAGAATGGGGGTTATTTTCTTTGGTGCTGTCTGGGTCACACTGGAGCTGGCATTGTCACGATTCGTAGTTTGAATGACCTCAGCTCTTAAGCACACAGTCACAGTATTCACAGTGGCAAAGGCAAACCCAGTGCCACCTTAATGCAAACTGGAGGGTGAACTGCAGCAGCAGGCAGAATGCGGCCGTGCCCTGGTGCCACAGCCCGAGTGATGCCCATCAGCATCCACAGGCTGGGGAAATACAACAGTGACTGCAGGTGACAGATGATCTAAGCCATGACCATCTGACTCAAGCACAGTGGTTTCACCCCGTGCAGTGGCCCTCTGTGTGGAACTCTTTCCATTCAACCGTCGACACCCACTGTTATGACACAGGACTTATGCCTGGGGTATCTCAGCATACAGAGCTTAGAATGACAACCCCAGTGAGGGGCGGCCACGCTAGGGATGGGTGGGAGAGCTATATAATAGAGACTTCCCCATATTTATTCAACACAAGGCCCTGGCAAAGGAAACAGGCCAAAGAGCATGACCTCTGGAGGGCTGCTGGGGAGACGGACTGCATTCAGTACCTAGTGCTCGTGGCGCAGCCCAGGGGGAGGGCACGTGCTTACTGTGCACAAGGTCCTGGACTCATTCCTCATCAACAGACAAACAGACAAATGTGTGCTGTCTTCAGTGCAGGGAAGCCCACATATGGGGATCTGACACCTGAGGTGATTCCTGTATTATCTTAGGCACTGGGCCCACAAAACCAGAGGGTCCCAGGGTTACCTCCTCTCCAAGCCCAGGGCACCCTAGAACCCACACTAGACCAGTTCATCTCCTCCTTCCAGAGGCGAATGGGATGATGACCTGGCTGGACAGCAGGGCAGGTGGAATTCCGGATGAGAGGAGAGCCAGAGTAGAGGCAAGCAGCTGCCATACTGGCACGGACATGGGTGAGGCAGGTCCCCAAAGGCACACCTCAGGTTTCACCCTCAGCTATACCGCTCAAGAGACAGGGAAGATGGGAGAAAGGAACTCCCCAAGGTGGCACAGCCAGCCAGGAGAATGAAGACTAAGTCAGAGTGCCCTGCAGCCTGGTGCTTCCCTTGCCAGAATCCTCACACCTGACCAGAGGGTAAATCCTGGCCCCTCCCCACCTCCACTAGTGATAGGATGAGGACTGACTTGCCCAAGAGGTAATCACTTTTCTGACGGTTTATTTTATTCATCTTTGGTAACAAATGGCTGAAATCAATTACACCTGCTTTCCCCTCAGCTGATGAAGTTAATTATGATTTGTTATGGTATCTGGTATGTAAATGAGCAGAAAGCAGACTCACGTTGGACCGGCTGCCTCCAGGCGGCACAGGATTAATCATTGTGTAGATGTTGTCACTGGAATTGGTTGAATCTGTAGAATAGTGGAAACCGTATAGCTGAAGTGATTAATTCATTTCTTAATTAAAACAAACTCGTGGCACTTGAACTCATTCTTTGGTATTTTATCACCTAAAATTTCTTCTAAGTATCACCATCTTCTGGGTAATTTGTATTTAATGAAGATTCACCAAGTTTTTAATCACAGAAAATTCAACTGTGAAAACCACTCAACCACAAACCCAAGAATTTCAGGGTATCTGGGCAGCAGGGCAGGTACAGCACAGGGGACTTCAGATCTGTCCCACAGGCTTAGCAAGGACACAAGGACACACCTGTGCTGTCTCTCAGCCCCACCCAGGGAAAGAAAATGCAGCCAAGTTACCCAGAACCACTCTGCTAGGCTGAGGGGTAGGAAGGAGAGAGGGATGGGGCTGGGGACGCATTAACATACGGAGTGGGTTAACGTGACCCAGTCTGAATGTAGGTCACGCCGCTCATCAATGCTGCAGAGGGGGAGCTGGAGTGGGAGCCAGCTCTGGCTGCAGTCAGCTCCACCCCTGCAGCTGAGCAGATTTCCTTTATAGGGAGCTGGAAGGGGAGGCTCCGGCCACTCCCCACCTAGCCAGGAAAGTCTCCTCAGGAAATAAGTTAGCAGTGTGCTCTCTCAGGAGCAGAAATTCTCCCTCTATTTTGGGCTGGGTAGGGGATGTATGCTGCACTCCTTCCGGCTGACTGCAATGCTATTCTTAGCGAGTAGACAGATAATTGTGACTGTGTGCATGTGCATGTGTGCACCTGCCCTCGTGTGCACATGCCCTCTCCAGATAAAAGAAACAGGGAAAGGAGATCTCTTACACAGAGGACCAGAAAGAAGCCTTGAGATCAGGAACCTCATGGGGAGTGTATGTGTGCCCCAAGTTGCAGGGGGCCTCAAAGACCCTTTCTGAGTCATCTAGGGTAAAGAAACCTTGTTGTTCTGAACCTCGGCTCAACCTTGGCCTTGTTCTTCACTAAGCAGTGTAAAGGAGCACAAGGTGGGTGACCTGACGGAGGCCACACCATGGGTTAGTGATGTCAAAGGGCTCAGATCCCATCCCTAGGTGTCAGCGCCTGACAGAATGCACTGCTCAGGAAGCAGTGGCTGAAAGACGGGGCTCTGCAACAGAGCCTGCAGGACCACATGGCACCCCACTCCCACTGGGCTTTTCTTTCCCCTCAAGGCCTCTTACCCGCAGGACTAGGCATGATGGGGGTTCCTGGAGGGCCGCCACCACCAGGGGGTCCCTGAGATGAGATAAAAGCTGTTATCAGTAACCTGTGGTGATAAGAGCTTGGGAGGCTGCTATGCTACCTACCAGTGCCCAGGCAAGCCTGGCACCTTCCAGGGCTGAGCGTGTGTCTCTTGCACTCAGAACTGGAGTGTGTAAGCCTGAGGAAACTGGACTTACACTCCTCCTCTCAAGTCAAGAGGCATCAGTGGAGGTTGAGCGCACAGTTACACAGAGAGACACTATAGGAGTAGTCTGCTGGGCAGCCGCTCAGAAGGAGACCCCTCCTGGGTCAGGTTTGGAGGAATTTGGGCCACTCCGGGCCTGTACAAATACCTAAACACTGATAGCAAAAGCCCTGGCAATTTGGATCTTGGGCTCTCCTGCCAGGCAGGAGTTGGTCATAGGCACTGGGTAGTCAAAACCCGCAGCTGCACTTACCACATAGGTACCGGGTGATGAGGAGGAGTACGGGATCTGGAAAGAAGATTTAGGAGCCATGTATTGGAGCTGCCTTCCCTGGCAGACAAGTATTGTGCCCTTTCACTTCCAAACCCACTCTTATGAGAGGCACGGGGCCCCAGTGAATTAGTAACCCGGTAAGTTTCCGGAAGAGGTCTGAGACAGGAGTGAGGCCACAATGCAGTGGTCCTGGCCTTGTATTGCAACAGTACGGTTCCAGGAGGCCTTCCATCTGGGAGGGTGGAAGAGAGCAACACCCACACCCACTCCTCTTCCCAGCTTGTCTGCACTAAGCCCCCAATCATCAGCCTCAGTGCTAGAACCAAAATCCTCTTCCCTCAACAAATGATGCACCTGAAGCCCAGGCTCTCGGCTGGTACCCATGAGCTTCTGCAGGGCAGGACCACCTTCGAGGACCCCAGCACACTGCCCAAGGGCTCCACCCACAGGTGCCTTCTTCTCAGAGGCATAAGGTGGTCTCCCACTGTACTGCTCCATCCTGACACCTTCCTGGAGACAGGATTTACCCTGTGCCCAGGACCTCCTTCCTGGATAATGGTGCCCCGCCAGACCTGGATACTCACTGAGTTAGCACTGTTGGGATTGGGCCAGGGTCTGCCAGCTCCTGGGCCCCTGAGGGAAGGAGAGATGGAAACAATCAAAGCGGTGCTAGGGGCTCTACAGCTGGAGCCAGCAGGGGCAGAGGAGCAGGCTGACGTCAGCGCAAAGGTCCCCGAGGCCACCTGACTCCGCGATGTGATGGGGAGCCCCGTGGCTGGAGACTCACACACTCCTTCACACTTTACGTAAAACTTGTAAATTACATATTCATAACATGATATATAAAGTCTTTCTGCTTTTCCCTAGGAAGATAGGCCACAGATCCTCATACAAGCACTAGAGATCAGAGGTCAAATCCTGGAACAGCCATTGAAGCTGCGTAAGCCTGAGGAAGTCATTCTACCTCTCTGTGCCTCAGTGACGAGGTCACAGGCAGGGAATGACCTGAGGATAAGGAGCGTGCCCAACACTGCGCCCGGCACACGACACTGTGCAAGGCAGAGTTCTCATCCTAGTGACGAGGAAACTGAGGTCCTGAGAGGCACCCATGACTCTTAGGAGTCTTCTGGGGTTCCAACAGTGAGTGGGGAGGCCATAGGCTCTGAGGCACTGGCCAGGGCCTTTTTGCCTTACATGTTAATCCCAGGCATGGCGGGGCCGAGGGAGTTGGGTGGTGGTCTCATGCCGCTGCCGTAATTCTGCAACGATAACCAAGGGTCAGTCTATGAGAAGGAGAAGGGGAACCGGGGAGGGGAGACAAACACAGAATATAAGTGAGAGGGTTAGTCTGTGAAGACTACCTGATGAGAAAAAAAATCATACATTCTTTCAGAAAGGGTGGGGGTCAAGTGACAGGGACCACAGTGACAACAAGCCAGCACAGAGGGACAGTCACGACACTCAATGCGTTTTCAGGGGCCTCAGCATGACATTCCCTAACAACAGTTTGTTCAGCAAGCTGCTGTTTGCCCCTTCCCACAGCTCAGCAGGTAGAAGAGCAGACTCGGTACCAGGTCCAATGCTGATGGGGGCCACCTGGACTCTGAGGGAGACAACAACAGAGGGTCCTAGCCACCATTCCACTGACCTCAGGATGCTCAGCACTCTTCCCCTCCCACCCTGCTAGACTCTAGGGGCCTTCTTACATCAGGACAGTGTCTCCATGGCTACACCCTACCTCTATAACCCAAAGTGTTCAATGGCTGACACAGAAACTGCCAGAGAACAACCTGCACCAACTATATGCTTGGGCACCGCCCTTGTCGGGCATCTAAGAGAAGTAGGTTGGCGGGATGCCGACGGCACGAGCCCTCCAGTGCGAACCCCGACTGCCGTGCACATACTCTCCGACCGACTCTGCTCTGTCCTCGTAATAATACTCTGAAGCTAGTTCCCCTTACAAACCAAGAGGCTGGACTCTAAGAGTGAGCAGCTGGCCAGAATCAGCTAGCAAATGGCAGGCCAGGTTCTCACCCATAAGCCTCCTGGATCTCTCCCAAAACCTCTGACAGAAGGAGGCAAAGCCAGAGGACAGTCTTAGGTCAGACAAACATAGAGGTAACACTGGGCTGAAAACAGGTCTTTCCAAAGGACTGTCTCCCCAACGTCACAACGGAGGGGCCTGTCTTCTGCTAGGTCACCCACTGAGGTCGTGAGTATGGAAGATACAGACACTGACACCCAGAGGCCTGGCAAGGAGTGGAGTCTACATGGAGGGCAGGCTGCAGCCAGTTTACACAAGAGCCTCACATCCCGGGCCTGCGCTGGGCAGATATCCTGCACGGAACGCAGAGTCCACAGGACAGCCGAACACAGCCTGGCCACTTGCTGTCCACTCCGGCAACTACATAAATGACAGCTCTCACTACGGAGGATAAAGCTGTGCCGTGTGTTTTATGTGTACGTGGATGTTCAGTAGCCATGGCAGCTCCCCCGGAGATTATAAAGTGAGGCACCAAAGGGGCAGAATGGCCACATGCTAAGCCGGGACAACGGCCTGTGCCAGGCTTTGCCAGGACCACAGCCTTTTGTCTACAAAACAGGGCCAAGGAGCTCAGGTGCTTCTAGCTTTACAGGGAGCCGTGCTAACTGCCAAGTGTTGGTTCTGAGGTGCCAGAGAGTCGAAGGGTGCATGGTGACTTGAGATGACAGCAGCTGACCCACCATCACCCTTAGTGTGGCTGTGGAATGTTTCTACCCCTCACAGGAAGCTAGCATGTTATGGTCCATGAGAAAGATCTTCCAGGTGCCAGAGCCACACACCTGCCTTTCTCCCCAGAAAAGGCAAGTTCATGCTCCAGGGCTAAGCAAGGCCAGAATGTTACTACAGCACAAAGCTTGGGCCAAAAGAAGGCTATTCAGATAGACATCCAGCATGCTGCCTATGGTGGTTCCAAAGAAAACGGTCCTCAAAGGGAGTAGCACTATTAGGGGTGTGGCCTTGCTGGAGGAAGTGTGTCATTGCAGCACAGGCTTTGAGGTCTCTTTCTCTCAAGCTTCCCTCATTGTGACCGTCAATCAACTTTGCATTGCTTGCAAGAGGTAGCACCCTCAGCTCTAACACGCTGCTATGCTCCCCTTCATGACGATAATAGACTGAACCCCTGAAACTATAAGCAAGCCACCCTCAATTAAATGTTTTCTTTACAAGAGTTGCTGTGGTCATGATGTCTCTCCCCAGCAATAGGAACCCCAAGACACTGCCCAGATGGGTACCCAGCTTGCTAACAAGGCAGCACCCTGCACTGAGCTATGGCAAGTCTTCCTCCTACAGGTGCACATCCCAAAGGGTCACTCCATACCTCCCACTTCTCAGGTGACAATCTGGAGGCTCAGAAATGCCAGACACTTGCCCACCCAATAAAGCAGGACCAGAAGCTGAGCTGAAACCCGGCTTGGAGACTAAGTCCACATGGGGCTGGAAGACCAGTACCCAAGTTCTGGAGCTGCTGGAGATGACTGGGCACTAAACAGAGCTGACCATCCACCTTCCTGAGCACTGCTCCTCAGTGATGGGGAGGACATGGGCACAAGGCCTCCCTCCCTTCCTCACTCCTAGCTGGTGAACAACGGCACCTGTCCCACAGCTCTGGAGGACTAGGGTGACATGGGAGATATGACTGGTGACTCTCTGCACCCCCTCAGGGGGAGACTTTCGCCTGCTGTCTGCTCCGCATTGGCTCTCTCTTCAAATGCACTATCATTAGATTCATCTGCAGAGGGACCTGAAGCTATACAGGCAGTTTTCTCGGTGGTGGGGGGAGGGAAGGGAGGGAAGACCTATTCTGCTTTAAGCCAGGGTGTCTAGCAAGAGGAGGCTCCCCAGCCTCACTCCCTCTCACTTAGCTGGGGACTTGGCACAAGATTAAGTTGTCCATCTGAAGCTCTGAGCATGTGTCAGCCTTGGGTCCGGGGCCCCAGGAGATTCAGTTTCTCCAGGTATCACAGGACTGTCCCTGGAGAATCATATGTGCTCTACCTGAACTTGTTAAAACACAGACGAACTAGGATGGCGGTCTGAGTCTAGCTCTGGCTGGAACACCAGAATTGCTACAGCAGCAGCCTAGGGTTGGCTGGTACCCTGAGTCTCCAAGGGTCTTGAACCTGCTTTACCACATGTGACCAAAACCCTGAAAGAGAGAGCTTTGTCTAACAACTCGCTCTCCAGATCTAGGACAATAGGACACTCACTATCTCACATTAACATATGTGATTTTGAGAGGGAACTGGATTAAGTTGAAGTACTGCCCCTTTCCAGATGGTAATTTTGCATGCTTAAAAACCATCATGGGCCCCGGAGGAAAAGGACTGGATGGTGCCTGTCTGCTCATGGGCTGAGGTAGGATAAATGATCAAAAACCACTCTACCTGGTTTTGAAACCTATAAAATTGCCCCAGACCATGCTATATCGGTTTCCCATCTCCTTTGGAAAATTCTCAAGGGGTCACTGGCCAAATGCATTCTGATCCTTCACTAGGGATTGTACAAGGAGTCCTACCTCTATGTCTAGCCTCAGCACAGCACGGATCATACAGTGGTGCTCAATTATGCTGCCTGACCCTAATGGCCCAGGTCAGAAGGCAGAGTGCAGAAAGATAGCAGCGTTCACAGCCACTCTTGCCCTGCCTCACAAGTTGTCAAACAGCTCTTGTTCCTTATTACTTCTGGAGAGAGTAGTTTCTCCCAGTACTAAGTTTAAGGCCATTCTCTCTTATCCGTTACCATGGCCGGGCAGTAGCCTCAGCCGTCAGGGAATAAGAAAATTACCAGGGGAAGAAAGAGGGTCTGCACTCTCCAGTTCAAAGCCTTGATCTGTGGTGGTTTGAAAGAGAAAGGTCCCCACAGGCTCATGTTTGAATACATGGTTCCCAGTTAGTGGAACTGTCTGGAAGGACTAGGAGATGTGGCCTTGTTGGAGTGGGAACATGTTGTTGAGAAGGCATGGCACAGCATGGGCACACACCAGGACCACTCTCTCTGTCCCTCTCTCTGCCTGTAACCTGCAGATCAGACATGAGCTATCAGCTACTGCTCTAGTGTCATGCTTGCCTGTCCACCTCCAGACTCACCGCCGTGATGACAAGGACTAACCCTCTGAAACTGTAAGCCAGCCCCAATAAAATGCTTGCCTTTCTAAGTTGTCTTGGTCGTGATATTTCTTCACAATAATAGAACAGTAACTAAGACAGGGTCCAAAATGTCCCTGATATATCCTAGATGATCCTGATGCCCGCTCCCTGACCGTCCCTGCCACCATGGCTTCATGTCTCAAAGGAAGTTGGTATGGGGATTCCGGGCTGCTGAAGAGAGATTTAGTTTGGGGATTTACTATTACACACTACCCAGCATGCTCTAGGCGTGAACAAAAGACCTTTAGGCCTCCACATTGATATGCCAGGCAAAAGGTCAAGGGATCTCAGACTCTGAGACCCTGTCTCTTCGTGAAAGTGTGCTAGACTTACATGGTGTGACACTCGAGCCAGGAGAAAGAAACTTCTGGAATAGTCTGTGGTCACTCTGGGTGCTGAATTCTCATTCTTACTCTAGGTCTGCAAGGTTTCTGTTGTTAAGACAGGTTCTCATGTAGCCCAGGCTAGCCTCAAACTCACTGTGGAGTTGGGGAGTCTCTGGCTGACACCTCCCAAGTGCAGGGATCACACCCAGGCCCTGCGCATGCCAGGCAGGTTCTCTACCAACTGAGCTACATCTCCAGCTCTGTCTTTTTTCAATTTTACATTTTGTGATGCTGGGGATGGAACCAAGGGCCACATGCACGCTAGGCAGCAGCTCTGCCACTGAGATATACACAGCCCCTACCCCCACTTGACCTCACTATTAGGCCTAATAAGCTACAAATGACTTTGCCAGGGAAAGAAAAGGAGTCTAATCAATCTCAGCAACTAAAGTCATGAACACTGGTTTTAAGTTCTGTTCTTGTTTTGTTTCCCTACCTGGCCTGGAGCTTGCTATGTCCTCAGACAGGGTCTCACTATGTAAATTGGGTGGCCAGGAACTCACAGAGCTCCAGCTGCCTCAGCCTCCTGTCCCTAGGGATTAAAGGTGTGCACCACTATCCCCGGCAGTTTTAAGTTCTTAAAGTTAGAAGACACAAATATTTCTTCGTGGGGGCTACCGAGGCCCAGGGATCACACTGAGCATTGAGTTCTTTCAGCACCCTACAGAGCGGACACTCTTATTCATCCTAGAGATGTGGTTGTTGATCCTCTCAGAGTCCCCACAGGGAAAACAAGATCTCACCTTGCACCAGTCAGATCCTGTAACACACTGAAAAGCCAACACCACTGTCAGTTCCTCAACAGCAGTGACTGTTGTGGGAGTAACTTCCGCTGCCTCAACCAATAATCACTGAAGCAGGAGCCCACAGTGCAGCGGGGAGCGACTTCCGCTCCGTCAGCCAATAGCTGCTGAAATACCAGCCCACTGGGGCGTGGTATATTTCTCTTTTAAAAAGAGAAGCAGTTCCGGATAAGGTCTCTCTTGGTTCCGGCTCTTGGTTCTGGTGCTCGGTCTCGGCTGCTGCTCCCGGCTCCTGCTCCAGCGACTAGGCTCCCTTCCTGACGGTTTATGGTGTATGTAAGTTTTACCCCCCGCCAAATAAATAACCCCTTAAAACATAACTGGTGTGGGATTGATTCGTTAATAAGTGACTACCACACAGCTCAGGCCAAGGGGACAGAGACCCACTTCTGACTCTGCCCTGTGCAAGGGCAGCCCTGTAGGTTTTTAAACTGTGCTTTCTCAATAATGTAGCCCACTGTCAACAGCAAGATAGAGTAGAAGCCTGGGGGGGTGGGGGGAGAGCATTCCCTGAAAACATGGACAGAGATCCTCATTTGACAGGTGGAAAAGCCGCACACTGGGGTCCAGAGAAGTCTAAGTAAGTAACCCAAGGGCATCACCGCTCACTTGACTTGTTCTACCACTAAAGCACAAGGTGGTCCTGTAGCCTGTTTAAGTCTACTCTACTCAGGGTGGGAAATGGCTTTGGATATCTGGAGATCCCATTTCATAGTTTGTGACACTAAACCCTCTCTCTACCTTCCAAATTCCTCACGCTACATGCCGGGACACTTACCCTGGATGGATCTGCCACCCAGGTGGCTCCCTGGCTGTGCCCTGTGCTCAGGTTCTTTGGGGTTATCAGGTCTGCCCACTGTCTACTCAGAGGCTATTCCCACCCAACATCTCACAGACAGGGAGAGGAACTAGGGACCTGAAAGTGCCCTTCCTCTCAACTGAGAGCCAGAAATGTGGGAGACTGACAGACGGTGGAGAAAGGAAAGAAAGCGGGTGCACACAGATGGCAGGGGAGACAGACAGACAGATAAGCAGGGAGCTGGTTACCTGTGGGCCAGGCCCCATGGGCCCCATGCCTCGGGGAGGGTTCATTCTCTGCATTGATCCTCCCATGTTGGGGTGACCTGTGTAAGAAAATGGATGAGCCATGGGCTGTCAGGAGTACAGCAAAGAGGAGCCCTCCCAATGCCCCAGCCACCCACCCTCCCGCCTTCTCTACCTTGTTGTCGTGTGGGATCCATAGAATTGGGCAGCAGTGGCTGCGTCCCAGGAACTCCTCCTGGAGGCTGAGAGAAACAGGAGAAACGGCTTGAGTCACCCTTCCAGAGTTTTGGGGGACATCTGCATGCCCTACCCTGCTCCCCACCTGGCCTCCCCAAGACTATCTCTGCGAGCTGGGTGGAGTCCCCCAGCTCTGGAAAGCAGGGCAGACAGTTGTTCTTGTGAGCGTTAGTCAAAACTGTAGGATCGGGAAGGGATAAGGTGAGGAGCTAGGCTCTCCCCATCCGAACCTGCACATCTGCAGTCTGGTAACAGTAAGCTGTGGATTCCCGCCACCCTCATCCAAGGGGCAGCACCTGAACCCCAGGGACTGTGGTTTTAAGTCCAATCCTACCTCCCTTTTGCTTCAGAGAATGTAATTCATCTTAAGCACACCTCCAAATCACAAGGACTTAGAGGAAGCCACTGGTTAAAAACTATCACTACAGAGAGGCCTTTACAGGTGAGCCAGGTGGAACTGACCGGAGTCCAGAGCTCTATCGCTGAGCCGGAGTCAGCAGCGCCACCCAGGACTCCCAGCTTCCACCTGCTCCCACCGTAGAGGCGGCAAAGCAGCTACCAGGAGAGACCAGGCTGCTGAAGGACGGTCTGCTCTTCAAGCAGCAGGAGTTAGTGTGACAGCCATCAAAAAGGAGTAGGGTGCTCTGGGAACAGACTAAAAGTCATTTACTTAGGGAAAAGTTATTCTAGGTGCAATTTAGGAAACGAGAGAGCAGCAGAGGGTGGGCCAAGTGTCCACGGAAGAGCTTTGGTTTCTCCAAGAAAAGCCTGGTGATAGAGGGCCACCGCTCTGGCTGAAGGTGCCAATGCTTGTGGAGGTTGGGGTCCCATGACTGTCCCCAGCCTTGGCTGCTACTGTGGGCCAACTGAGCAGAGCTCTGCTGACTAACAGGGAATGCTAAGCAGGCTCAAACAGGAGGCAGGAGAGGGACAGGACCCCCCACACACACACCCGCGCCCATCTCCCTGCTTTTCCAGCTTCAGAAGAGGAGCATGGGGCCGGGGCAAGGGAGCTTTCTGAGAGTCCCCCAACCCCTCTGACTAGGCTGCACCTCAGGTCCCACAGTGCTACAGTCACCTGCTGTTTCTGATTGCCTGGGGCACTGGTGAGGTTGGGTCCCTGCACCCAAATTTAGCTGCCCTCCTCTTTCCCCTCAAGTTCCTGAATTGTGACTCACCTGGCTGGTTTGCATCTGCCCATCTGGATTGGTGGTTTTTAATAGAGATGGGGGATTCGGGGCTTTCTAGATCCCCAGAACAGGCACACCCCATCTATCCTGTCCAGATAGCTATAACAATGCCTGCTTTTTGTACAGTAGTCCCCCACAGCTTCTAAACCTGCTATAGGCCAGGCGTTTTAGCTGGGATAGAGGTTAAGGGGCTTGGGACTCTTCGGTGGGGCATCTGAAACAGAGGTAAGACCATCTGGGCTTTTCTGCAGGGGAGGGAGGAGAATGTGTGATTGACTGCCAAGGATAGCAGGTCTCACACTAGAAGGCTAAGGCCTGCATACCTGAGAAGGAAATATAGTCTTGCAGGTGGGAGTTATAATCTTGTTGTGTATAGCCTGTAGAGGCCCACGGGGGACAGAAATGCCCTTGAAGGTAAGCCTGCTCTTCTATTAGCCTGGCCTTGGAAAAGTCACTCCAACCCTCCCTCCATACCCAAAAAGTCTGTTTTGCTCAAAACCCTGGGTTTCTCAATTCCTTCTGTCTAAATTTACTCCCTCTGTGCTGGAGAAAACAGGAAACAAAGGACTTCGGGAGAGGAAAATAGCATACACCAAAGAGCTTCCTCCACTGTTCCCATATCATGTCATTCGGGCTTCCTCACAGCACCCCAGAGAGTGCCAATATAGGTGACTAAACTCCTGGCTCTGAGTATGCTGGGACTACTGTCGGATTTTTGCTAAGTCGTTGGAAGAATTCTGGCAAAAAAAAAAGGGGGGGGCTCCAACACGTTGTATCAGCCTGTCCACCTCAGTAGAGATGATGGGCTGGACCAAGGAAGGCCAGCTCACCCGAAACTGCCAACCGTGAAAGACCAGGGAAGGTATGCAACCCTGGTCCGAAAAGTCCTCTTCGTAAGCAAGGTACTTTTAAAATTATATGATCAAATCCTTCCTTGTTTAGGGGAAGCAGGCAGACTGCTGAAAATCCCACAAACACCCTGCTCCCTCGGCAGCCGGGCTCCTGACCTAAGCACTTCTACAGGACATTTGCCCTCTAACAGCAGGATTATGTTTGCCAGTCTTGGCAATTCTCAAAAGCTTCCAGGAGAAAAACAATGCACATTATCAATTGACTTCATTAAGGAGAAAGACTCTCTTCCAAGAAGGGGCTGGAAGGAGGGTTAGGGTCATTGCCACTCTCTCCTGAAGAGCCGAGACCCTGCAATCCCATCAGCTGCCGTCCTCTAAACAGAGTTCAATGCTGACCCTTGGGCAAGTTTAATCCCCACCTTAAAACCTAATACTCCAACCCCTGAGCCCTGCACCTCACTTCTGACCTGAGTCCAGGTCTATCTAGGCTGAAGGATGGCTGAGAGGGAAGAGAAAACAAGAAAATGTACTGTACCTGGTTTCCCATTCTGATCGGGGGCCTGGGGCCGCCTGCATATCGCGGTGACATAAAAGGCTGTAATTATAGGGAATTAGTTCAATGACAGCCTGAACTACTAAATAGCGACAAACACAAACGCTTTGCGCTCTGCAAAGTCCAGTTTATTACAACTAGTGCTCGTTTAAGCTCTCTCTAGTCCGGTAGCCTCTTCCTTCCGGGCAAAACTTCCCTTGGGCAGAGGAACAAAAGATCCACACAACACAACACATGTCTCCCAACCTGCACTGGCTTGCAGGAATCTAGTCTGGGCGGAGGGGCAGCAGCTGGGACCTCACACAGGATGCAGAATAGCTAAATCAACGCAGAGTAAAGGAGACCACCTCTGCTCTCCACGAGGGCAAATAAAACAACAAGAAAAAGGAGGGAGACGTCACATCTTCAGGTCTGCAGACAAAGCAGGACACACGCACACAAGCGCACACACAAGCACACACAGAGAAATCATCAATGGGGAGGAGTGGGAAGGTAGTAGCAAGGACTTATGGGAAAATATGATGGAAAAAAAAAACAGTAAGGGACAGCGGGCTCCCTAACTTAATGCGGGGAAATGGGCAGGAAAGCTTTCTCGGCAGCGAGTGCATAAAGAAAAGGCCAGGGATGCAGCCTTGGTTACAAACAAATGGTTGAACAAACTCAAAATCAAACAAAAGTGAGAGAGGAAAAAAACAAAAACATAAAGGCCACTAGCAAGGTCACAGAGATATTTTTGTTTCTTTTCTCTTGGTTTCATATCCAAACTGGGTGGGATGTTCAAGAAATGAAGACTGTCTTTAGAAAATATATATATATTTAAATTAAACTTGTCAATTATGACTGGAAGGCAATGCTGGAGCATACTTTGATTTTTGTTTTTCCTCTGCGGCTCTCTCCTTCCTCCTGCCCCGCGCCCCCCGGCTGGTGGGCCGGTGAGCCACAGTGCGTTTACCTGACTGTGGGGTCCCATCATGCTGCTGGGATTGTGAGGTGGAGGCTGTGCGTGCGGCGAGGGCTGTGACCCCGGAGGACCCTGTGAGGCCAGACAGTAGAGGCAGGTTATAGATCACAGCACATGGAGAAGCGCAGAAGAAGCTTAAAAGAACAAAAATTAAACCAAAACGCAGAGTGGCGGCGGGCGTGCGGGTGGTGGGCTGTGGCTGGCAGGAGGTGGCGGAGCGCTGCTTGGGTCCTGGTTCAATGGCGAACAACGGCGGGCAGGCGGGAAGGAGGGAGGCTGACCAATACATTCACAGGGGATTTGGAGAAAACGAAAAAATAAAACAAAGCACCTTCATCAAAGCACACAGGAGTGAGGGCCGGACACAGGCTACCGCTGAACAGAGTTTGCCATGTTAAATACGCTGGTTGACTCCGACAATGGCATAGACAGGGCCCCTGGACCCAGATGCAAAGTCTGCAAGTACCACTTTCAGAAGACACGGGAGGAATCGGGTGACGGCCCTGCCCTCAAGGAGCTCACAGTCTGAGAGACAGAGAACAGGTAATTTGGGATGGTATTGTCAAGGGCCTGTTGGCTGGGAGCAGGACAGAGGGAATGACGGCTGAACATGGACAGAAGCAAGGAGCAGGTGGCGCTAGGTTCTAAGCCAGTGGGAATACAAACAGTCACCAAGCGGCCACCCAGCGTGAGCAGTGCCAGGCTCTGTGCCTCATGAATTCACCTACAGCTCTCAGAATAGCTCTGTATGGTGGTATCTCTCCTTTCAATGTTTACAAAGAAGGAAAACGTGTCCCAAGAAATGAAAAGACGAGGTCACAGCCACATAACCTCTAAGTGGCAGAGTCAGGCTGAGAGCCAAGCAACACAGGCAGGATTATCACTGGTGGGTGGTTTAGGGGTGGAGGGCACACTTTCCACACCAGGTGATGATGAGCCAAACTGACCTAAAGCTTTGGACTCCCTACCAACATGAGGAGACAAATTCACTTAACCCACAGAGTTGGTCAAACTGTTTTTCAAAGGAAAAGCGACAAGTTAGCTACAGTGATTGGTTCCACCCTTAGTCTCAAAACCACACAGCCATGCTCTGCCCACTGAGGGGCCCACGCAGAGCTGGGAAGGAGATGGGGGTGGAGGTGAGGTAGAGACCACAAAGAGGTGTACGAAACTAGAGGCAAGAGCTGTCCAGCAGCTGAGGGCACCACTGAGGACAGGCCTAGAGCTTCTTGGCTAAGCGAGGGGCTGTGCACTTCCGGAAAGCTTAGAGGAGCAGATGTTCCCCTACCTGCCACGCTACTAATTTCAACAAGTGTGTGTCTTTCTAGCGGCTGCCAGCAACGGCATGGTTTGTTACCATGAGCAATTTTCTTAATTAACAGACATTAATTAGCCATTTAGCAATTTTGCAAGCATTTGTTTAGCGGCTTTCCTAAACATGAATACCACTGTGATAATGGCACTGATTAGAGGGTCCCCTAATTAACAGTACAGGGAAGGAAAATTGAAATCACATAAATTAAAAAGGGAGGGGAAGTTAATGAAGGCGGGACATATTTGCACCTGCAAGTCTTTTGTACCACAAAACTTGGGTGTAATGTAAACAAAACAAGATAATTTGAAGCCAACCCCCAAAAAAAAGAAAATGAAAAAGAACGGAGGAAGAGAGCTCAAGGGTAAGGTCCATCTGCCAAGAGGGGGCAAAGGCTTGTCTGCTGGTCCCCCAGCTCTTGGCAGCAGGGAGTACCTCCTCCCTAACAGCCCTATCTCCCTCCCTGGTCACATATGTACATACATGCGTTTGCAGAGCAAGCAGACTGTTTTGGGCAAGTTGCTCACACCTGTGTGCACACTGCGTGGGAGTGGTTCCCAGTGGCTACATCACTTTCTGAGTACAGGAAACAACCTGAAGCACCTATAGGTGCTCACCTTGGGACTTCACATGATGGCAGTCTTAAGGCTCAGTGCTCAATACCAGGCCTGAAGCCGGGCTGGTGGCAGCATCTTCACAAGAGGGACCATGGGGTACAGAAGGCAAGGTTGGTTCTGAACAAGTGGAGATTACAAGTTTGTCACCAAGACAGACACACCACAGAACAAGGCTGTTGGTAAGGCCCTGGCATACGGGGACAGGGAAGGAATGGGCTGCTGAACCTGGTGATCGCCCTGAGAGGAAACCTATGGCAACCTCAATTCAGATGACACCAAAGTCATCTCCGAGGGGACACATCACCTCCCTGATGGCCACCCATGACCTGCGGCTTTATAAACTTCCAGGTACAGCCCCTGGCCTTTCCCAGACCCTGCTGTATGGGTCACGCAGGTTCTCTGGACCTCTACCATATATCCTCAGCTTGGACATGTTTTACCATACTGTGTGACCGCAGCATCCCAGAAGGAAGCCCACATAGCTTGCCACAGCCTCGGGACCAAAGTGACGTCGTGTTCTGAGAAGTCACTGCTGCTGTGAAGAATATGCCAGGTGCATTGCTGCCTCCGTGAGGAGGTGAGGGCTCAACTGTCAGTCTATCAGGCCACAAACAAGTGGACCCATCGTCCCTTCCAGCCAGCATTTTCAGAGAGCTGTCAGTTGGTTTACAGAAAGGGGACTCAATGGTCTTTTCAATTTGTTCTGCATGGGCAAGACACCACACAGGAACAAAACGAACAAGCAGAGCCCTCGCCGGAGGTTTCTGACCTCTGCTGAGATGGGAGGCAGTGGCTCCCAAACAACCCCAGAAAATGAACAAGTGAGCTGGGTGGGATGAGGGAAGGAGGGTGTCCCAGTCATCAGTTCCCCAGGCAGGACAAGTTCCTCATTGGCTTTCTTGGAGTTCAGCTGCTGAAGGCGTTTTAAAGAACCTTTCTAAAATAGCTTTGTCTAGAAGCCTGGCTGGCCAAGTACCATCCCCTCAAGGATGCTGGGAGCTTTCTGCTACAAGAACGACAAAACATTAGTAGGGTGGATCGGGATGGCGAGCCCAGCTCCAGTAATCACTTGCTTACAGATTGCCCCACACTAACAGACTGCCACCTCTTTCCCTCACGCCCTTCATCTACAGGGAAGGAATACAGGCTAGTGATGGGAACCATCTGAGACTAACAGGAACTACCCATTCGCTGAGCTAAGCTTTGTAACTCATTCACCAGGGTTCTCTTTGTGACACACTATGTCCCCATCTACATCTATTTTTAAAGGAACAGGGCTTGGAGGGGGAAACTGGGTTCAAATTCTAGCTTTGTCACTGGCTGCTCTTGTCCTCTCGCCGATGAGCAAAACCAATCCTGACAACATGGGGGAGAGTAGGCTTTTGCCTGCACCAGCTCACTTAATCCTACGCTCTGCAATGTAAGGACCACCAGCCATGCCGTTTGATAGCCAGGAAACAAAGCTCAGAAGGCGAATGTACTCATTAGCACTGTAGTTACAAGTCGGGGAGGCAGGTGGGTTTCAAAGCCTGATTCTGGGGCCCAGAAATCTGGAGGAGTCCACCATTCCTCAAGCCTGTGAGCAGCGTATCTGTGTTCAGAAGAATCCAATGACAGAAGGGGCTGAGAGTTGGCAAAATGCCTAGGGCTCTATAGTGTGATGCCCAGCTCCCTCTTGCTGCCCAGAAAGGTAAACTAAGGCCCAGAATGGCTACAGAATATAGATCTGCTCTATGAGACCCGGGGAGCTGGGAAGGGAACTATAATCCTGCAGCAGATTAGACTTATCTACTGCCCTCACTGTGTGAAGTGGTGACAGGGGACCAAATGAAGAGCAATTCCAACTCCCGAATTTTGGAAAATGTGAGAAACATACCTATGTTCTGTGTGCCCTTCATATTGCCCCGACCCTGTTAATGGATTTGCCCTCCCCTTGCAGCCGGCTCTAGACCGCTGCCTTCAGACACCTGAACCCCCAACACCTCCTTTTCATTCTTTCTCCTGTGATGTCAACGTTAAGTAGTGTTACCTCCAGCAGGTTGTGAGAGCCACTTAGGTGAGGCCTGGGAGGCTTTGTTACGGTGTGATCGAGGCAAGTGGTTGGTCATTTCACAGAACCTTACAGCCTGGATGCTGATGGTTTGGTGAAAAG